AAACAAGCGGCCTATAGATGCAAAGTTTGGAGTAGGAGACCTTAAAAATCTCTGCAAGTCTCCGATACTCAAAAAGAAAAGAATATTGAGTCTAATTTGAGGAAGAATGTAGTACGGCCAAAATTGCTCCTTTCTCAACAATCTTTCACCAAGAGAAAGGGCAGCATAAGTTCGTCTGTCAGAAAAATTATAAATTTCTGTCTGTAGCTGCATGGCAGGAATAGAGGTTGAAATCGCAGAATCAGTGATGAGTCTTAGTTCTTTATTTTGAACCAAATTGAGCGATATATATATACACACACACACTCATTTTCAAAAAATAATTAATAAAAAACCTTACATTATTAAAATGAAGGGGGAAAAAATACGATTGCAAAGCAATAAAATTTTTAAAAAAAATATGAACAATTCACATTTTTAAAATAAATAATTTCAAGTTGAAAAAAATTTGAAAAACTTACATTACTTACATAAATAAAAAAAATAAGTGTGCAAACTTCGAAAACATTTCGTGAATTCTAGATTTAAAGTGTATACAATACAGTAAGTTGCGATACGCACAATCTGCGGTCCGCGATCGCATTTTGGACACCATGAAAAATGTTTTAAAAAATCTTATTTTTATATCTATTAATTATTCTTTTTTTTAAAGTATTTTAATATCTAACAAAACGAAAGAAAAAAATCAGCGATTCCTGCCCTTTTCTTTTTTTTTCCGATTACTTTCGAATTCGTTTTTTCCGCGATTTCACTCTTTGCACTCCTCCTCTCTGTACACCTTTCATGCCTGCCAACTCTTCCGGAAGATTTTATTTTCATATTTAAAGTGGTAGTAAATATATACTATTTTTTCTTTTATAAACTTAATTTTCAAATTATTTTGATCACCACTATTCTTAGAAAAATTAAGCACATATATTAATATGCGTTACTATCATGGTTGTCAACTTAAGTTTTCTCAAATACAACGTATTTGTTGCTTAAAATTGAAGTTTTAATACCACTGGGAAAAATGATAATGGAAGGGATTAAAAGTTGGCAGGTATGACCTTTGTGTTTCGTTCGTGGAGGTTTGGATCACGCGCCTCGTAAGTATTTTTACTTTAATTAAATATAACAATTACAATTTAGTAAAGGAATCGTATTGTTAAAACGGTATTTAATCATTAAAAAAATTATTTTGCCAATAAACTATGTCATCGATTACATGAAATGCAGTTACCAAAAAGCAAGAGAAAGAAAATAAAAAAAAAAATGTAAACAATCAGACTAATGATATTGAATGGATTAAAAAAATAAATGTTTTTTTTAATACATATTTTTCAGCTAAACCAACCACACCAGGGTGCTATAATAATAAAACTTGTTGTTTAGACTTGAAAAACGAAAATGAACCACACCCTTATATAAAAAAGGGTAATATTTTTTTGCTTATTCTTTGTCATTTTAATCACATTTCCCTAATGAATGTTGTTACACTCTTGGATAATGTAAAATGTGATAAAACTTAAAATTTAAGATGAACTTTCGGTAACTTTTAATTTGAAAAAAAAATTAACAGGATCGTAGTATAGGTCTAAAATTCAAAAAACTAAATAAAAATTATATGAAACCGGAGATTTATGTAATAACAACTCGATTATGAAAAGTTAAAAATAAATAAATAAAAATGCTAGAAATAAAAAAAAATTAAACAGCTAAAACACCTAGAATAAAATTTATTAAAATAATAATAATAGTCTGCATTTATAACACGTTAACGAACACGAAAGTTATAAAAGATATTTAAAATTATTATTTATAATTGTTTATAAAAGCTATTGAAAAATGTTATTTATAATTTTTTCTTGCTTAAACAATTTTATGAAAATTTAAATAAAACATCTTAATATTTAAACTATCTGTATCAAACATCCTTCGCTAATTTAAGAGCATCAAATTTCTGCAGCGATTTTCGCTTAACAAAAATAACTAAAATACAAGTTATATTTAAAAAAGAGAGAAACTCCTGAAGTCCTCCTACCTGTCATTGTTTTTGTTTCTGTTTTGAGACTTGAATCTAAACTTCTTGTTTAATTTCGCATTTTAACAGCTGATTCTGTTATGTTAGTTCTTAAAGCTGCACTTCTAAGAAATTTTTTTAAAATCATGAATGAGATATTATTTTTTCATTATTAGTGAAAGGAAAATAGCCGATAAGAATAGTAAGTTTTCTGATTCGTGGGGACTTAAGTATTTTTTTTGTGGGGTCTGCAAATATTATTACATGTCTAATATTCAACACAACTATCAGTGCATGCAAGGAATATAATCTGGAAAGACATTATGAGATCAAACACCCAGCATTCGCTAATTTAAAAGGCAATGATCGCGTTAAAAAATATGCATTTTTAAACCGCTCTCTAATTGCGCAGAAAGGTTTGTTTAAAAAAGCCTCGATGAATTAGATGTTTGCGTTGAAGTTAGTCTAACAATCGCGGCCCTCATCGCTAAAACGGGAAGGCCTTTCAGTGATGGTGATCTCTCAAAAGAATGCTTAATGATAGCTGCTGAAAAGCTTTGCCCTGATGCTGCAAACAAATTCAAAAATGTTAGCTTAAGTAGAACAACAATTCAGAGAAGAGTTGAAAATCTGTCAGAAGATTTGACAGAACAGTTGCAAAATGCTGCCTCTAAATTTAAATATTTCTCTCTGGCAGTTGATGAGTCTACGGATATTACTTTGACAGCGCGCTTTTTACTATTTGTTAGAGGCGTAGCTGACAATTTTGATGTAACTGAAGCAACTATGAAGAGCAAAACAACTAGTGCAGATATTTTATCTTCAGTATTAAATTTATGTAAATCTCAAATACTTGATATGAACAAAATTGTCAGCATTACCACCGATGGTACTCCAGCAATGATGGGGGCAAGAAATGGAATGATCGGTTTGCTGCGTCAACATTTAGGCGAAAAGAAATGCATTATACACCAAGAGCAGCTGTGTGGTAAGGAATTAGGGTTTGGAAGCCTTATGAAGATGGTGACAGAGGCAATCAATTTCATGCACGTGCGCTCAATCATCGCCAGTTTAAGGATATGTTGTCAAATTTCAATGCATTGCATATTGATTTGCAATACTATTCAGAGGTACGATGGTTGAGCCGTGGAGAATCTGTAAAAAAATTTGCAGATGTATTGAATGAAGTCATAACATTCCTCGAAGAGAAAGGAAAGCCAACGCGATTCTTGATGTAAGAAAGCTTTGTCCGTGATTTGGCTTTCTTAGTTGACATAACAGGGCATTTAAATGACTTAAATAGGAAAATAATGGGGAAAAATCAAGTTATTTCTCAACTTGTAAATGCAGTTGATGGATTTAAGATAAAGTTAAGCTTATTTTTAAAACAGCTGGAGAGCCAGAATTTTGTTAACTATCCGTATTTGAAGAAAAGTGAAAGAAGTACATCCAGAAAAAGTCTTAGATTATTCCCATCAAATGAAAGTACTCCAAGATTCATTTCAAAAACGATTTATAAACTTTGAAACAAAAAAGGACAGAATAAAACTGTTTGGGGATCCATTTGGTGTTTCAATTGCTGAAGCCACAGAAGAAATTCAGCTAGAGTTAATTGATCTTAAGATCTCTGATAATACATAAGTCGAATTTTAGGGAATTGGGACTTCTGGAATTTTATAAAACCTTGCCATCTGAATTTGAAAATATTAAAAAAAATGCAAGTATATTTGTGCTACAATGTTTGGTAGCACATATATTTGTGAACAAACGTTTTCATTGATGAATATAAACAAGAAGCAAATTGGCTGATGAACATTTGGAATCAATTTTAAGAATATCAACCAGCAACTATGAACCAAATATATCGTAACTGGTATCTAAAATACAGTCTAAGCCATCTAATTGACACATATTTCATGAAATTTATTTATTTTAGATTTTCAATAGTGTTTATAATATTATTCATAATTATTTAACATATATTCAACTAATGGTTGAATGTACTTTTTTGAGTTGTATAGGTATTGCTTAAAATAATTTTTAAATATTTAAATTTATTAAATTCAGGTATAGTACGGCTTTCAGGAGAACAGCTCCAGACACCTGTCTCGCGTCCTGGCGGGAACTATGGTTACGAGGGTAGGTCACTTCTAATAAGGGTGTGGAGAGAAAGTGCCTAGTTATGTAATATATAATGATCTTAACTTGGCACAAGTCGGCGAATCTTCGCTCCACTTCCCTAGTGTTAGTGGCAGTCCTAGAGCCAAGTGATAGGAACTCGTCTTTCTTTTATTCTCTCGTTTTCTGACAGGGCAGCTTAGTTTTCAAAAGATTTTTTTTCGTGATTATTTTAATCGTTAATTATTTAATTGTTGTTAGTTTTACGTTTGTTTTAAGTTTTGTTTTTTTCTTTTATTCGTTATTAATTTTATCTTGTTTGTTTTCTTTAATTTTTTAAATTTTTGTTAGTTGTTTTTATTGTTATGCCTTTCATTTTTAAGAAAGGTGAGACATTAAAGTCTCAGGCACGGAAAATTGTCCACAATGTCCTGGAATGTTTTTCTGAGGAATCTAGGGAAAAATCCCTCAAACTGCCAATACAACAAGCTTTACGAGAGCCTCCCTCGCAACTGGTTTGTCACAGTATACTTTGAAAAAAATTGAAGGAGAAGTCTCCCGTTTGGGAGAAGGTGAGATCCTCAGTACACCTGGAAAAAACAGGAAAAGGGAATCCTCTAGAAACTGCTATATTGATGACTTTGATAAGTGTGTCATACGACAAACGATACACGACTTTTACCTTAAAGAGATTAAAGTGCCTACGATTCCGAAATTGATTCCTGTACTCCAGGAAAAAATAAATTTTAAATGGAGGAAAGAAAGTCTGCGAAAGATCTTGCATTCTATGAATATTCGGTGGAGAAAGTGCGTAAATCAAAGAAAACTACTAATTGAAAAGCCTCGTATTGTTTTCTGGTGTAACAAATTTCTTCGGGAGATGCGTGAGCATCGAAGAATGTCACGGCAAATTGTATATATCGATGAAACGTGGCTGGACAGCAATTTGACGTTTCAAAAATGCTGGCACGAGGAAAATAGCAAAATTGGTGCCATCGTAAACTGTAGTTCGAAAAATAGACTAATTTTTGTCCACACTAGAACATCTGAAGGGTTCGTTCAAGGTGCGGAACTAATTTACAAAGCCTCAAGCCAAACTGGGGACTACCATGGGCAAATGAACTTTGATAATTTCAAAAAGTGGGTGTTGGAAAAATTACTCCCAAATCTTCAAACTGAGAGTTTAGTTGTCATGGACAATGCACCTTACCACACTAAGGTGGGGAATCCAACACCCACAAAATATGCCACGAAAGCAGTCATGGTGGATTGGCTGACACTGAACGGTATTGACTGTGATATGGGTATGAGGAAGGCTGAACTTTCTTCCCTGATCGAAAACAATCGCCCAAAAGAAGTGATTTATTCTATTGATAAGCTGATTAAAGATCAGGGACACCATGTGGTTCGCCTTCCTCCATATCATTGCGATTTAAATGCCATAGACTATGCTTGGGCAACTGTTAAAAGATTTGTGAGAGTGAGAAATACAACAGGAGATTTAAGCCTTGCTAATTTAACTGCTCTTCTTTACGATGCTGTAAATGGGGTGACAGCTGACGAATAGCGCTCTCATTGTCAGCATGTCGAAAACATATATTGGGAAAAGGATGAGTTAATGGAAGACTTAGTTGACAGCCTAATAAATAGCACAGCAGATGATTCTGAAGAAACAGAATCTTGCGACGAGGAAACTGATTTTTGTGATGAAGAATGGGAATTATAGAGAAACGCAAATGTTTATTATTAATGTTTTTTTACCTCGCAAATTTGATGTATTCAGTTTATGAGATGCTTATTCCAGTTTTATGTATGTCCCAATTAATAAATTAATCGCATGAAAAGAGAAAAACTATGTATAAGAAATCTAAATCGAATGTCTCTTGAATATAGCGATTAAAGAAAGATAGATATTTTTCTTTTTCCGAGAAAAAAATATTGATCGAAACAGAGATATAATCTCAGAAGTGTTCTCATGAGACAAAAGTGGTAGATTAAAAAAATGTTTTTAACCACCATTAAAACGAATTATTTACAAGAAAAAAATAGCAGCTGAATTCCAAATAAATTATCGTATATCGTATAAATGAAAATACGGTTTCGTTTAAGCCTATATTATTTTTTCTCCCTAAGAAAAAGCAAAAAATTGTCTAAATATTAATTTAAAACTTTGAATAGGTCTCTTTACAGCGGATAAATCAGCCAATCTAGTAGACCAATTTACTCCTTCATTCCTCCATTACACCCCCTTTAGAAATGCTATCTCACTCGTTACTATAGCAGCAGACAGCCCCAGACTTTTTGGCGGGAGCTGTTCTCCTTAAAGCCGCCCTATATTGAGTTTAACTGTTGTAGTTGATTGTTTATTTGCAACATTCTCGTTGATCTATTTTGAGTTTAAACTTTAAACTCTTGTGTGGTTCATAGTTTAGTAGCAACTGTTTCTTTGATGCATTTTATTTTGGTTGTATTTAAGTGATATAATTTATTCTTTATTATGCTCAACTGCTTACTATTTGATTTTTTTTTACCCATCTTATTTCTTTAATATTCACAAACGTCTTATAATTCACTAAATATGAATACCGTAGACATTAAGTATACTACCGATTAGGATTGGGCGATAAATCTGGAAATATCGATTTAACGCATACATCGTCATGCCAATATAGCGAATTTCGTTTCTTCCGAAGAATTGGAATTCTCATTTAAGCCAATTTACAAATAGAATTACTTTTTTCATTAATACTGTACGGTAAAGCATTTGCGCCACAGCCTTTCACTAATCCTCGATAGCATTCTGTTGCATTTTTGCCACGGGCAACCTCGATTTTAAGACACGACCGCTGATCACCTTTTAAAAGCATGCTTTAGAGCGATGGAAACGAAACTCCTCACTTTAACGCCACACAACAACTACCCTTCTAAGCAGATCGACTGTTTTCTGCACTCTACACATCGACAACAGCGCCACCTCACCGCTCCCAGATCCTATTTGCGCATGCCCGCCCTTCTGTGAGTTGTGAGGTTAAGTTGCGACTATTTAATTTACAACCCTCGTATAAAATAAACGAATTATTTAACAGCAGTGTCCAGCAGGAACCAGAATATATACTGCCACCATTTTCTACTCTTTCTTGTAGTGTTGTATTATTTTCTGTTTTGATCTGCTAGATCAACATCTCACATGTTTGACTTGTTCTTTACAAATGATATAGGACATTTAACTTCGTGTTTTTCCCCTCCAATTCCTCTTTGCGAGGCAGTTTCTTTTAAATGCGAATTCGAAGAAAAAAGAGCAATCTCTTTTTTATCCTTCCAAAGAGTGCGGACAATATTAGGAGATTCTACACACTGGACTGATTTTGACATTCCAGTTGTAGGGAGATTTATATATGTGATGTTCTGCGGTAAAGATTTTAGTGCCTGATTCAAAGTGCCGCAACAATATGTGTTTTTTCTAACAAATCATTCACCAAGAATCTGTCGAAATAAATGTTGTAACATGTTTTTTTTCTCCAGACATTTGCACACATGTTGTTCGGCGTCATATCCTAACCCATTTTCACTTCTTCGCACCTTGTCGTTTTTACCACAATAAACTTCTAAGTTCAGAACATAGCCGAAAGCAGACGTACAGAGCATTCTAACTTTTATTCCACGCTTTTCCAGCTTCCGGGGCAAATGCAGAACAATGTCCAGTCTTCCCTTATATTTTATTAGGGCTTCATCGACTGAGACATCATTTTTATTTTTTTTATGACCGCCGTTGAAC